TTCCTTTTATCTACCTAGAAGGAAGGGATTAAGTGATGGGGAAATTGGAAGAAATGAGACAGAATTCTTTTGAAGTGAAGCTTCAGTAGTACTCTGGAACCTGAGAGATGCTATCTAGATACATCCTGCCACTGGCAGAGGTAGAATTTCCACCCTAAAGATAGTGCTCAAATGCCTGACATGGGCACAAGACTCCAATGTCTCTAACAATGAGAGCAGGTCAGTAGAAAGATCCTTGTTCTGATCGGATTTGAGGCAGTTCTAGTTTCTGACCAGGACCTACTTACAGACCCATATTACAGAGTGCCTGAGAGGAAGCGACCATTCTGAAATGCAACCAAAGCAGTTTTCTAAGGGAGTGGGAAAGAGATCTATTTATGAAAGAGATTTATAGGCCACCTTTGGATTAAAGGCTAAGAAATTTAACTTTATGTTTCTATAAAGAGCTTTCTGAAGAAAAGAACTAAAATAAAAAGAGCAGTAAGAGGTCATTTCCATGTTGGCAAACTCATTATCAGAGCCCTGACTTGAAACAGGATCAGAGCCTGGGGTCTGGATCCAGCAGTTCCTCGTAATTGACCACATGGCCTGAGGCACATCACTTGCCTTCTCAACTTCCCATCTCCACATGGAGATGACACTATCAGGCACTTAGTAAAGTGAAACTCTCTACACACATGTTGTCTTTCCAGAACCAAGCAAAGCTGGCTTGGTCACATCTGTCTCCCTGTGCAATCTGAGAAAAGTTCAGGAGAAAGCTGCAAAGAAGAGTTAAGATTTTTAAAATATCTCTTCCAAAAGGTTAAGGGATTTGATGGATTCAGCCTGAAGGAAAGAGATTTAATAACTGTCTTCAAACAGATGAAGAGCTTTCACCCACAGCCAGAGAAAGCATGGGGACCACATGTTCCCAATCTGAACACAGCAGGGATGGGGTAAGCCAGGCTTCAACAAAGAGATTTTTCTGACATTAAAGATCTCAAGACACAAAAGAGCAGCTCAGGGAACTAGAGGATGCCCTTCTTCACTTCATTTGGGGAAGAAGAGGATGAGGGAGAAATGATGGGGCAAAACTGGATGAGTCTAAACTCTGCAGAAAACAATCTTATAGCCCCTGCCAGACTTATTGTACTGTAAATTGCCTCTTTGTTACCTTGCTCTGTTCTTGGCCCTGTGAGCATATGACACCCAGAGTCAGAAACCAGCCCTCAGACTGTTTCCCTGAATAGTGACTGGGTGGAATTATGAGCACCTCCTTTCTATCAGGTCTTCAGGGCTTTTGAATACTAACTGAGCATGGCCTGTATGTGAGGGCACTGTACCAAGGCTCTGTTCTTATAGCAACCCAACCATATTCTGATCACAGGTGTTCCTATTCCCATCTTTCAGATGAAAAATTTGAAGCGCTAAGCAAGTAAACTGACAGCCAGGATTTAAATTGAGGTCTGATGGACTCCGAAGAAGGCTGTGCTCTTTTCCAGAAAGGTGACTGAATATTCTCTGCTGTGTGTGACTGCAGAAAGAAAGGAAGACAGGGAATGTGGTTCCCTGCCTCTCACCTTCCATTTGTGCAACACAGAACCTTGCCAGAGCTTGATTTAACTGCATTATTTATGATGCATGTGTGCAAAAACCATTCAAGTTATGTTGCATCTCCTGTATGTTATTGGAGAAACAATTTGGTGGAGCAAACATCCCATTGAGGCCTACTTCTTGTTGTTCCCATTGCCAGTTTAGACTCTGAAGAACTCTCCCAAAGTAGCACTGCCCCTGGATAAAAAGCAGAGGAAGAGGAGACTATCAGTCCCAGATCTGGCCCCAACCATCTCTCACCTTGAGGCCTGCAAATAAAGGTGCATTCTCATGTTATTATAAAGAATAAAAAATCATATACAGATTACAACAAAGGAAAAAATAATAATGCGTCCAGCAAGAAATAACCATTTGAGAATTACACTGCTGCTTATTATGCTTCTATTACCTAGGCTAATTGTGCTTTGACTAAGTGTCTGGTGTGCCCATCGCTTCCTATTTACCAGTAGGAAAGGCACATGATTGCTATCTATGATGAAAGCCAAGCACTAAAAGCACAGAACAAGACAGTTCTGTGAGTAGGTTTGCTACTTGGGATAATGGAGGTGAAGTGTCTAGGTAGGACCACACCTGTCCAAAATAGTCTGTTTCTTTGAACGCCTTCTCCCTGTGGTGAATATTAGCTATCCTTCAGCCATGAGCTATGACAGATGTCTATTTTAATTATACTAAAAGGTAATATCACATGACTGGAAATGACCTTCACTGTCATCCTGCCTGACCATTTATATCTGGGGTTAAGTTCCCTGGTCTAGCTAAAGCACACGCCAATCAAATCCCATTATGGTGAACTGCACAGGACACGCAAGCAGTGGAATTTTATTAGACAGTTAGAAATCACATTATATCCAGCTCCAGCGGATGCAGACGCCCAGGCTTTCTTAAGAGCATGTTAGCAAGGAAAAGAATCCTTTGACACATCCTAGATGAGGGGATGTATTCACACTGTCTCACCCCCACACCTTTCTCTGAGCTCTTCAAAATTTGCATGTGTTGTAAAGTTTGTGCAATTTCTATGAATATATTTTTTCACTGACGGGGCTGGAGCACTGGAGACAGAGGAACTCAAGAGAGACTTGATAGCAGAGTAATAGAGAGGTAAACCTTCAGTTACGCCTCATTTCAACTCTTCACACTTGCATAGCACACATGTAGTATTTTCACTCAAGAAAGGGACTTTGGCAAGAACCTATGAATGCCCACAGTCTGTAAATCAAGTTGGGTAGCTGTGACAACCATGTTTCACCTGAACCCTTCACATGGTCTTGTTCACAAATGTTGTAGTCTCTTAATCTCTAGGTCCTCTCTTTTGAAGAAAGCCAAAACCACCTCCAGAGCAGAAGCCTTCACAGTCTAAGCTAAAAGACTGGGAGAACAGATGGGCACGACACAAATGGAACACAACAAGATCAAGCTTCGAGGAAGGGAGTGCCACACCCACCACCCACAGAAAGAATCCCAAGTCCAGGAATGGCATGAAGAAAAGAAAGAGTAGAAAAATGTCTTCTCTTCTCCGTATCAACACACATTAACACTTTACAGAGTCTGGCATGCGTCAGTGGTTCTAAAGTAAACCCTATTTTTGTTAGATGAAAGAGATTTAAAAAACAGACTCAAAGTTTAACCCAGTGAAAATTGCTTTGGCTATTCACATGCATAAAATGTGGAGGCAAGGAAAAAAATTAATTGCTTCTGATTTATTTATTCATTCATTGTCCATCTCCTTTGTAATGGAGAGAGAAAGAGAGATGCCTTCTATAATCTTGCAAGTCACTAATCTTTTTGAGGAAAAAGAAAATAATCCAACCCTGCCACTGGTTGCCCCACATCTTGGCAAAGGAAATACATGCTTAATTAAGTTGATGTAAGGGAAAAAAGGAATTGATTGTAGCCTTTCAAATGTCTCACCAGGGGCCGAGGGCTAAAGTGGCAGAGCACTTCCATAGTAAGCACAAGACCCTGAGTTCAAACTCCAGAATCACAAACAAATAAAATAAAATGGAAAATGCTTCACCAGCATTTACAATCAGGAGTTCACTGTAAAGCCTTAAGTCTGGTGACTATGGATCACATACTATATTAAAAATGCTAAAAGAAACTACAAGGTGTCACTTTACTGTTTGCTTTTTTTTTTTTATTTTTAGACAAGGTCTTGCTATGTTGCCCAGGCTGGCTCAAACTTCAGAACTCAAGCAATCTTGTCTCAGCCTCCTGAGCAGGTAGGACTACAGGCATACACTACGGCACTCAGCTAGGTTGCTCTTTCTTAATCTGAGTGGTGGGTGCTAGTGCTTGTTTTACTTTTCTTTAGGCCCTTTTGTAGGTCTTAAATATTTCTCACTAAATATTGTTAAATCCTCAAATCTTCTACAACAGGTTCTATTCTGGGCTGTTCAGTCTGAGAGCAGAGAAGGGAAGTTGGGAATGCCAAAATGTAATTGCAACAAAGAGCAGAAAATGTAAGCAATCCTGAAAAGATGTTTAAAGCTTCAAACCTATGCCAAATCATTGAGATGTATTAAAAGAAGACTGAATTCTAGTTTGATCCCCATATGCACCCAATTATTGAATTATTCTGAACACCTGTTGAAACCGGGCGATGAATAAGCCAAATGAAAATTAACACACACCACTATCAAGTTTATCATTCGGCCAGCAACTCTGAATTTGCTTGCACAATCTTCCCTCACCCCACCCCACACACACACCTGCCCCCATGATCCTTCGGTTAGAGACCTTATGTGGAATTGTGACTTTGTGCTTGCTGATTGCTCAGTATTCAGGAGAGACACTGCGAATGGCCTGAGTTCTCCAACCAGGAGAGCTGAGGGGGATGAGGGCCTTTCTTTTCCCACAGGAAAACAGCCCCCAAACACCATTTTTCCCCCCACTGCCAAGAAGAACCAGCCGTGGTTTCCCAGTCTCTCTGCTGTGCCATTAAAACCAACTGTTCTGTCCTTCTTTCCACAGAGGAGGAAGAAGAAAGATGGTTCCAGCAACTACATTTCTGTCCTAATTCCCATCCTTGTCAGTGCTTAAGTCTGCCATGACTCCCTTACACTTATCTGGACAATGTTTTATTTTCTAGCCTACCCTTCTGCCCCGAATGCTCAGTCTTCACTACCCAACACAAAACCTTAAAAGGAATTAAGTGAGCAAAGAAAAAAATTGAAAGAAGAGATTATAAAAAGAAGACAGAAGGAAAATCCAACTATCAAAGAAAATCTATATGTAGTACAATCAGCCAGTAGGAAGCAGATGTTCTCTCATCCCATTATATCTTCTAAGAGCAGGGCTTTTGCTCTTTATTAAAAAAAAAAAAAAAAAAAAGAAAAAACTGGTGAAAGAATCTATAAATCTAAAGAAGTAAGATTCTGAACTTGGACATATTATTTGTTTTGCTTCTGAATACCGTTAGACCAACTGCTTTTACTTCCTCCTCACTGCACACAGACAAACCCCACTTAAGCCTCCTGGGAGAGGCTGCAACTCTGCCGAACCTGCCTTGCACATGGCATGTGAAAATGCCTGTTTTATTGGCCTCACTTTGGTAAGTCAGAAATCTTCCCTCTGCTCCACAAGTAACAGATGGCTGGTCCCTTTTGGTACACAGGCGTAGCATCTTCAAAATAACCTTCTCCCTTAAAGTATGCCAATTAATCAAATGTCACTGTGATATGTCCCAGCCAAGAAAGAAAGAGAGAGACCAAGAGGACAAAGGGTCAACAGAACAGGACAAAGATGAGAGGTTACACTCTCCTACCTTCACCCGACGACCCCGAGAGATCGATGATCACATATACTTTTCCTTCTGGCTCCAGATCAATCTGCAATTAAGAAAATGACAGTACCTCTGTTAGCGTATGGTGTGGGCAACTGGAAACCCCACATATTTCTATCCCAAGCTGCTAAAACCTAAAGCCACAACTTCATGCAATTCATCAGCCCACAATGTGTCAGGTCCAAGGTGAAGTAGAAATGAAGGCACATCAACAATGACTGAATGTCCACTGTGCCCTGGATGCAGTACTAGAATCAGACCCCAAAGTAGCATCATCTTTGTGGTTCTCGACTAGGAGTGATTCTGTTCCACAAGGGGCACTTAGCAAATTCTTCAAGACAGTTTTGATTATCATGATGGGTGGAGAGAATGTAGCAACTGATATCTAAAGGGTAGATGCTAAGGAGGCTACTAAACATCCTACAATGCATATTTGCAGTCCCCACAACAAAGAATCATCCAACCTAACATGTTGATAGTGTAAAGGTTGAAAAACATTGTGTTATTCCTTTTTATAGAAAAGGAAACTGTGCTCAGCATTCCAAGGTGAGATTCAATGCCAAGACTGTCCAAAAAACCTCATGTTCTTTATTCTACACAAATTACTTCCAGGGGAAGTAAGAGACAGAAAGGAGACCATTCCTGCTCTCATAGTGTTTACGATCTTATCAGGGGTTAAAAAATAGTGCTGAACCCAGTTCAATGATGAGTGACAGAGAACAACTTAATAACATATCAGAGGAGCCTAAAACCAGTGCAGAAGAGCAGTCTGGGGAGTCTTCATGGGCAAGAAAGGGAAGATAGTCTGAATGGAACAAACAACATAAGAAAAGGCTTGGAAAATGTGCAGTGCTTCTACGAAATCAAGGGGTCTCCCATGCTCAGAGTGTTTCTTGACAGCACGTGTGTTTGGCAAACTCAGATTCTACAGGGTTGCAATGAAAAAGTAAATACTGCTAAGTGCTTATCACTAACTTCTACCTACCCCAACTTGCTCCCTCTCTGCCTCAAATCCAGCTAACTACTCCTGTTATATAGAACAGGCTGATGAAATTACAGTAGAAGGAAAATCAGAGGGCTGGGCCTCTTGAAGTTAACACATCTTGGCAAGGTCTGAACTCTCCTTACAGAACTTGTGCTCCTCATCAGAAAGAGTAGTAACTCCGGAAACCCTGGATCACCAAGTCCCCCTGCTAGCCTCTCCCGCCTCCACAAGCCCATCTGTCTACATAGAGCTCTAATTGGCTCACAAGTGCCAGTCTCTCTCCCCAAAAGCTGTGCATTTTTTGAGGGCAGAAACCACTATCCCCTCCTTTTTTTTTTTTCCATTGTCCCCAGCAAAGAGCAAGCATACATTTAGCAAGTAATACTTAGGAAGAGGCAAACTGGTGGACACCTCCTGCTACTTCAAGGTCAAGGTCAATTATCGCCTTCTCTCTGAAGCCTTTCCAGATATACCCAGTCAGAATTCATTACCCTATTATCTGTGTTCCCACAGTTCACCCTAATCAGGGCTCCTATTAAACTGTAACACATTGTTCATCTAGCTAGCTTTCCTGCTAGACAGAAAATGTGATGACCATAATTGCACCCTTGGCTCAATGTCTTTTGCTCAGGAAATATCCAATACACATTTGAGGAGATGGGAAAGGGCTCTATGTTCAATACTTCTAGAGCCTATTGTATGTCATTTGTCCCTCCAAGCCACCATCCATAGGGAGGAAGGCAAGCACATGAAGCTGAGGTGGCTGCACCACAAATGCCACATGTGAATGTTCATGAGGTCACCCCACCAACATCTCACACTTCAGAGTCCAGGTTCCCAGATCCACTCATGAACCCCACTGCTTTGCCAGACTTGTCCTTTCATGGTTGAGAGTACTTACTATTTTCCTCAAATGTTTGTTTTTATCCAAAGGGGTCTTCCATGCTTCATGCATGAGACCAGTGGGGAGAGAGAGTTCAGCCACTCTGTTGGGACAGTTTGTGAGGACTGCAGTGAGCAGATCTGCTCACCTGAGTTCAAAGGAGCTGTTCACCTGAGTCTGGGATCCAGATGGGAACCAACACCAAACTGGTGGTTCCATGAGATGACTTTTCTCACCCCTTCTACCCAGAGAGTCCATACTGTTAAGTTTATAGGTAAAGGAACGATTCTCTAGAACTCTCAGTACCAGTACTGACACGGCTCCTGCACTGAACTACAAACAGGAAGACCAACCATCGCCTGTTGTCCTTACTGAACAGAGCCAAACCAGAATCCTGTCCCTGCCAAAGTTCAAAATTATCAGGGGCCCTCTTGCCCCAAAGCATGGAATTTAAATAATGTATGCCTTTTAGAGATTAGATCATGTGCTAAATCCCCCAGCAAAATGAAACACTTTCTCATATCCTCCAAGTCAAAGATTTCCCACGACTGTGGAGTTTATTGGTGAAGCACAATGCTATCTGTAAAAAGCAGGGAGGAAGACAGCAAAGGAATGAGATGGGCAGCAAAGCCTATCCGAAGGCAGGCAGTGAGCCTATCTTTGCAAAGGGGGAATGAGAACTCATGGCAGGGAGGACAGGTCATTGATGATAAAATGTATTAGGATATTAACATTCAAGATAGCAATCAGAAACCATTTTAGCACCCACTGCTGCCTCAAAGCTGGTGAACTGAATTCCCAACAGAAAAATAGGAATTAAGCTATTAAACATGCCAAAAGCAACAAAGAGCTTTACAGCCTGAGCAGATGGCTGCAGAGCACTGGCCAAGCCCTAGCCAGCCAACTGAGGAGGCTCTGAAAATCCATCCAGGGTAGCAGCACTTTAGTGTCATGACTGGAGGGGTTGTGATGCAATTTCATGGCCAACTTCATATTATTACAAATTCTACCCACCATTACATGGCCAGATAATGACGCAACGTGGGCGCCCAGCCCTGCACAACCCTGCAAGGTGTCAGTGTACAGTGATACTAGGCATGACATAAAAGCAGACTCACCATTTCCTCCCAGCCACTCCCATGTTAGTTCTGAACCTTTCCTGCACTCCAGGTTCCTACCAGCTGTCCCAGGTACAGCCCAGCCCTATTCATCAAATCTTTTTAGCCCTCATACCTCTCTTATCAGACTTCTCAGCTACCATCTCTGTTCTCTTTTTCATGATCCTCTTTTAAGGTACAATGCCTTTGGCTATGCCTCTAGCTAAGGCCAGAAGCCAGGTAGTCAAACACTGGGGTAAACAACCACAGCCTTTGGCATCAGACCACGGATGATCCCAGTTTAGTTCCTTACTCTCTAAGTGACCTCACAACTACTTACTCTCCGTGAGTCTCAGCTTCTTCATCTGTGATATGGTTATCATGAAAATTTCTTGGGACCTGCATGCAAAGCCTCTGGCTCTCAGGAGATACTCTGTGTTAGTTAAGAAACAATGGACTGGCAAGGTCACCTGAGGCAAGCAACCCCTGTAACTCTGAGATTGCTAGTCAGTGACAAGGAGCTTAGCAACAACTCTTGTGTCACTTGGGCTGCTACAAGGGCCAAGGAGATCTGCTGTGCATGGTTTTTAGCATGTGCCTGACATTAAAAGGGGAGAATAATGGAGGGTATGAACCAAACAAGGGCAAAATACATGTATATATAGAAATGTCAAAAATTAGTTACTGTTGGTGCTGTTATTATTAAAAGGCTAAGTCTTCAAGTCTTCTGCTTCTTAGTCCAATGTTCCTTCTACTCTGACAAGCTTTCCTTTCATTAAAAAAAGGTATTTTCTTGCCCCTAGTTGATATTATTACATGTTATTATAGGATATTTGATGACATTACAGTGGTAAAGTAAGAGTTTTGTACCCAGCCTGGGGGAAACCCAGAGACAAGCAAGGCTACACCTGTGGGCATCAGAAGGTCCAGAGTGCTCCAAAGACACAAGAATTGGAGGGTGACCATGGATTTTCTAGCACTTACTGTGCCTTGAACATTGGAGTGGATGTTGTACCTGCCTTGGTTGACTTTGTCTCCTACAAGGCTGGCAATAGTCTCTCTTCCAGATGAGAAAACTGGAGTGCAGAGCACTTTCAGCAGAGATGCCCACTCAAGTCTGCCAGAGCACACAAGAGAGATGGCTCTGCCAGAGCTCAAAGGTCAGGCTTGGCTCCCAATCCTGCCTGGCCCACACAGACATCTCTTGATAGTCCAAGGTACATTCTCCTCCCTCCAGCTTCTGTCTCCAGTGACCTCTTTCCTTTTCAGGTGCCATTGGCTTCCCTAACCAGATAGATAGATCCTAACCTAACCTAAGATAACCTAAGATAGATCCATGCCTTGCATACCTTCACTATCCAACTGAGCACAGAGAGAAGGTCTGGACATAGTAAAATCTCCACTCATTTGAACTCAGAAAAAAGGTATGGAGAAAGACCAAACATAGAAGCTCCTAGAAAAGCAATCTTTGAAAAAGTAAAAAAGACTTGCAAGGACTTCTGAGTGATGCCTGAGTATTTGCAAAACATTTCATGTGTCTTCACATATTCATATATTCCTCACAATTAACCTACAAGGTAATAGGTAGGATTCATGTCGTTCCATGTTTGAGAAAGCTGAGATTAAGGAGGCCACTACACCCCACAGTGCTAGTAAGCTGCACACCTCCAGGGGACATCACACACCCCTCATCTCTGGGAATGTATCCCTGCAGCTGGGCAGCAGAGAGGTAACAAGCACACTCCAAACGTGTACCCTCAGCTCCTGACTCTCAGCCCAATATTCCTTCCAGCACCTCGCAACTGCCCAGCATGATTCAACCCCAAGGAGTCAAAAAGCAGCCCACTATGGGCAACTCGCAGACACTCACAGGTGTTTATGTGTCTGAGACTTGGACACAATCAGGTTCGAGGACAGAGAGGTCAGAATTCAAAGTCAAGATTCCTCTTAACCACAGTCAACTTTCACCTGAGACCTCTAACAAGCCTTTCCCCAGACAGCCCGCAGGGTCACACACACCCAGTTTGAGTTTCACTTCCGTTTCTAGCTGTCCTCAGGCATGAAGTTGCAGGAAAACAAGA